TTTTTTTTACATTTATGTTCATTAACATGCACTGTCCTAAATAAATAAATAAAATAAATAGTGATGTACTAATACTCCACTACTACTGCTTGGAGTTTTGGTCTGCAGATGAAAAAATTCTTTTTAAAGATTCAGTTAATGACATTTCTTGTCTTCAGTGGCTCACCAGCATCTTTGGCCCACTTCAAGATGGACGTCACCTCGTTGCCCTTCTGAGTTCTGCATACTCCGTTGCGACCCGCCGCATTCACTCCAACGATGTTCAGGTTGGTCTTCACCCCACACAGATAGGCTGTGGCTGTGGCTGCGCTGTCTGCAACCTGGAAGTCCACACTGTAGGTCTGCACAGTACACACACACATACACAAAGGAAAGCTTAAATAAAATATACTGCTCGGCAAAAAGCTTTTAAACTTTAATGACGTGTGAAATAAGTGGTGTAAATATTTTCAGTATTGTCTCATCGAGCTCCCTTTACTCCTAGGGTTGTGTGGTGGTGTCAGAGTAATTGGGCATCTGGAGATATTCAAAAAATAAAAGGTTTCAAAGTAATTTTCCCTCTTCTGTAGACACGTAGAACTCTTCCTTTTGTGAGCCATGGTTTCATTGCACCCCAGTGAAGTATTTGAAATTCAGTTTACAGTGCTACTGTGCTTGAGCCATTTTTCACATCTTTATATTTATTAAAACATGTGCAAACATTTAAAATAAGGCAAAAAGGTTTTAAAAAACTGATGAACTTGAAATTCAATTTTTAATATGACCACCTTTATTCTTCCACACAACCTAAACTGTCTCAGGCAAGCTTATGTTCCCTTTTCTACCAATTGTCCCACTCTGCTTCTGTAATGTTGAGTTCTGGGCTCTGTGTCAGGGTGTGTTTGTCTATCCAGGTATGTTTTTACTGCATTGATAATGCGTTTGGGATTGATTCTATGGTAAATCACAATCTGATGGTACTCTTTTGTGCGAATAATTCGATAAATTTTGACAACATTCCCAACACCACTGGTTGAAATCCAGCCCTGTAACATAAAAGAACCTCCACTGTTATACCCTCTCCTAACCTTGTTAAAATACACCACCGTAGATACTGAAGATAATTTAAATTAAAAGTTTCAAATTTGGACTCCATATCTGTTACCACTGATTTTCAGTCCAGGTCTTGTATAATTTGGCATAGCTTAACTTTTTTTTCCCATTTCCCTTCCCTAAGAATGGTTTCTTCCACCCTTCCACTGAGAGCATTTCTGATGAGGCTTTAGTGAACAGTGATCATCTTAAATTAGAAACAAATGGTCCTTTAACAAGGATATTTTTCCAGTTACAGACAGAAAACAGCTGCTTAGCTGTAGCTAAGACTAGCCATGGTTCATAGCTAGCTTTACAATTAACAGTTAAAATTCATACACTGTGGCTCGTTTTGCTATAGACTAGCCCTTTATTGCCATTGTATGTGTATATAAAATTACAGAAGAATATACAGTTGTCTACTCTAGTTTCTTTTAAAGAAGGTTATGGTGCACTCATTTTCTATGGCACAATAGATGTTTGTCTGACAACAAAGGCTATTTTTTGGTTTTAATGTTCCTACACACTATTTTCCTATCCTTACCTTTCCTGTCACTGATTTTTGATCCATCTCCCTGAAATTAATATCCTCCATTTTTAAGTTCCTTTTGTCACTCACGTGAAAGTCCACAGTTTGAGCAATACATGTGACAGCGTTTTCTGCTTAAGTTGTTTTATTTTTAATATGTTTTTAATATAAAATTTTGTATTAGTTGATGTTATTATTTAGGGTAAGGCATTAAGTCTAACAAGTTACAGGCTTGTATTTCTGGTTAGAAGCGTTACAGCCACCTGCTAAAGGCTTTCCAAAACACGTGCTGTAGACACAAGTTCCAACTGAAATACATTAGTTTAATAATATATATTAGTTACTATGATACCGGTCTGACATAAGGCCCCTCACACAGAAACTGTGTGCCTACAGGGCTGATTGCATTCATACTCATTTCCATTGTGACCAGTGAAATTCCTCTTTCTGTCAGTGTAAAAAAAAAGTTTAATTATGGAATTAATCATTGAGATATCTTAATATAAGAAAAAGAAGTGCGATTTCAACAGGACATTTCAGTTTTTCTACATAATAAAAAAATGCTGCTGCAGTAAATGAAAGAAATCTGTCACCCCAACTCTTTTGGCTTAAACTGTAAGAAATCAATGAGTAAAATTACAGAAAAACTTCTGGCAGCTCATTTCATCTTCTGTAATTATAAATCAGAAAGTCTTTTTTTTGATATCTCACAGAAAAAAGTGAAAAAATAGGAACTTTTCTGTTCTGTCTTTTCTTAATTTTCTTCTTTTTCTTAATCTGCTACCTAATTACTTTGGGGTAGCATAAATGGCCCATGGGCGAGGACAGTAAAGATAAAG